ACACACACACACACACACACACACACACACACACACAAACACACACACACACACACACACACACACATTTACAGATGGTGGTCAGCTACATTGTGGCCACAGCTGTATTTTTTTTCTTTTAAAAGTTTACATTTGTGTATGTGAAATTTGCCCTCGATGATTAGCAAATGAATAGAGAATTCCTTTAAACTCACTTTTATACTTCAATGGAAACCAAACAGAACATGTTTCCAGTGTAAGTGAAAGTGAGGTGGTGTAATTCTTTAAGATAAAAGACTCAACTCCAAGGTGAAGCAAACTGAAGCTTTATTAGAGGTGGCACATCAGCTGAACCTTCACTCCTAAAAACCCAAAGTCTTACAGTGTCCAAGACTTCTTTATGTGTGATTATTGCATCATCAAAGCCCTGTTTGTCTGACCCTCAAACTGCACTGACATTGATACAACAAAACCTTCCTGGGTCATGGTGACCAGTTCCTGTCAACTATTCTGAGATGTAAACAAAACTTTGGTCAAATTTATCCAAATCACTTCTCATGTTTTATCATTAGGTTTTATCTAAAATGAGTTTCCAAAACAGGTGGTTTAGTTTCAGGGTGGATGGCAGCTAGATCAGGATGAAGTTCTGTATTTTGTTGTTTTCAGTGGTCTTTTTACCAAACTCTGCACAGAAGCACAACATAAACTGCCAGCAGAAACGTCTGAGTCAAATCTAACAGATTYAATATGTTGATAACTTGATGTTTCAGGTTTAGATGTGTTTATTTAACTGACTGATTGTAAAACTTGTCTGTTTTATCTTCCAGGTTTTCAGTATTCTTTGGCCTCTGACATTAATGAAATAGTTGAATTCGTCGTGCTGCCCTACAAATACTTGGAATATTTATCCGACAACCCTACAGTAACATGGAGCCGCTATGATCTCAGTCCTCCAACTGTCCACCTGCGGAGAGAAGAGGATGATCTTCAGGATCAAAACCAACACTTCAGCGGACGAACATCAATGAAACTTGATGCTCTGGACTCTGGTGACTTCAGTCTGACTCTGAGAAAACCTCACCTGTCAGACAGCGGTACCTACACCTGCAGCATCAGTAGTGAAAGAGAGGAAATAAAACTGACAGATGTACAGCTGCAGGTCAAAGGTCAATAACAATCTCCAAAATGTTTTACATACTGTCAGCTGGTGGAACAGACAAATTCTGATATAAAGCAGTGTTTAGACCCCTTTAAACCCTTAATCCCCTATGTACCAACTGTGGTACTTTCCCAGTTTGTGGTCATTTCCTGCCTCTTTGTGGCCTGACCCAAGCTAGCAGGGACTTTGACTTYGCATTATAGGCTGTTCAAACAATTCAGTTGGATGTCATCTTTTAATTGAAACCTCTTTTGACCAACTGGGTTCATCTATAAACTCTCCAGAACACATAATGTGTGGCATGCCCCTCATGTCCCACCTGTTTATGGTACATGTGAKTGATTGACTAGAATCTGCCAATCAGCTCTGAGCTTCATATTAATTTAACATGTTTGTCTTATAACCTTTACCTTTAACATGTTTGTCTATAATAGTCTTTCTAACTTCCTGAGACAACTCTTTCCTTGTCTTCCTCTGGTCCATGTTGAGTGTGGTCCACACCATGTCACCAAACAACACAGAGAGTATCTGTAGGTCTACATACAGACCCACTGACTGATTACAGGACTGTAGACACCTGTGATGATAATTAGTGGACACACCTTGATTTAACATGACCTTTGGTCACATTATTTTCAGGGTACCATCATTTCTGTCCTGGTCTGTTTTTTTTATTATGAAGCATGGTTGAAAAGCAATGTCTGACTTTCATTTGTTCATTTTAATAAAATTTTTATTCCTTATTACATTTTTCAGATTCTACTTATTTCTGTGACCAGTTTTTCTTTCATTAAATGACCTGTCATGATCTTTCTGCTTTAGTTTTCTAGTGTTTCTGTGTTCCCTGTGTATCTCTGCCCTGCTGTCTTGCCTCCAGCCCCGCCTCTGCTCACCTGTTTTCTCTTGTCTCTTCTCCAGGTGTTTCCCATTGTCTCTCATTAATTTGACTTTATATTGTTTGTTCTGTTCTTTGTGTTTGTCTGATTATTGTGCTGCATTCTCCAGCCAGTGTGGTGTTCTCTCATGTTTTTTGTGTTCTTGTTTCTCCTGAGATAGCCTTGCGTATTTTTGAAGCTGCCTGGCCAGGTCTTTTCTGTAAATATATATTTTTGTTACCTTTTTGGATATTGCCTGTGCCTTGGGTCATTGTGCCTGGCCCAAACCTCACAGTACCAACAATTTTGTCCATGTGTGTAAAAGAACTCATGGAATGTATGAATATTAGTGTTTTTATTACTGATGTYAAAGTTTATTATTTCTCTTTCAGGTCACAAAATGAAAGTAACAGTGACAGAAGGAGCTGAATCTGTGGAGCTGCCCTGCAGAACAACAGCTGATCTGCACAAAGACTCCTCAGTGGAGTGGACTCGCTTTGATCCANCAGTGACAGAAGGAGCTGAATCTGTGGAGCTGCCCTGCAGAACAACAGCTGATCTGCACAAAGACTCCTCAGTGGAGTGGACTCGCTTTGATCCAGRATTTATGATTGTCTTTRTSAATCAAAATRTCAGCAACAAAGCTAAAGAACAGGACAAGTTTTACCATGATCGCACAAGTATGAAGGAGGATGTTYTRAAAACTGGAGACTTCAGTCTGACCCTGAAATACCCCACAGAGAGAGACAGTGGAGTCTACTTCTGCACCATCTACAGTGGACAAGAGRTCTTCAGACAGGAAGTAGTTCTTCAGCATGTCAAAGGTCAGTGCTGCAGGTACAGGTCAGAGGTCAACTGTCCAACCTTACACAAAGCCCCTGGCTGTGTCTCAATTCATGGGCTGGGTCCTGCTTTGTCCCTCACCCAGATGTGAGTAACTGAACCCCACACTGTTGCCCGACCTGGGGGAGGGGCTTGTTGGTGGTCACCTGATGAATGGACATCTACATAGTCAGACTCAGTCATAGTTTAGCCTTCCTGAGAGCCCACCACGTGTTAACGGGGCCATTTGGTTGTAAGCATTGTGCCATGGGTGGTACCCCCAGGGCAGGGGTATTGGCCATCTGACCCAGCCCTACCAAAGCTTGGGATGTGAAATGTCACCTCTCTAATGACAAAAGAGCCTGAGCTTGTGTGTGAGGTGGAGAGGTACCTAMTAGATCAGAGGGGTTCACTCTCCTGCATGTTGTAGAGAAAGATGACAAACAGAAAAGTGAGTAAAGCTGTTTTCTCTGCTTGTGACTGCAATAGTAGAGTGATGTGTGGATTGATACGGAAATACTGATGCCACCAAAACCAGAACTTTATGGTCTAGAATTGATACTAAAGTCAGAATATTGATACTTTGATAAKGCKGTCATTTCAGGTAATATACACTTTATATAGAAACACAGTGRAATGTAACTAAACTATTGAAATCTTGTCTAAACTATAAGCACTTGGAGGGAACTACTTTTTCTTCCACCTGCATATTTGTGTCAGTACAACGGCACATGCTCAGTCAGTCACTCTGTAGATGTCTATAGATAATACATATTAAATATTTTCATGTTAACATGTTCATGYAATGTAAATAAATTCATTATAATTCAGCATAATTCTTGATACTTAAACTATAGTTTTATTTAAATGTTTTTTYATTTTTCTACACAGTTTGTATGATTCTGTCTGTTTTTTCCTGTGTGCCTTGGCTTCATTGTAAATAAAAGCACTACACAAATGTACTTCTTGGTTTACATCACTAATAAATGTACAACAATTTTAACCAATTTATGTTTGCATAAAAAACCCTAAAAATGTTTTTCACCTATATTATCAAAGGTGTTATTAATAAATAAGCTGAGGATGTTCTTAAAGTATCTTATACTACAGTAAACACAGAACATCTACAAAAACTTACAATAAAAACGTTATTATATTAGATATAATTACAGTTCTGTTTAGTCAATTCTACTAGTACTGTACCAATATGTCAGAAGTTTTATATTTCTTTATGTTTCTCCCTAGAAAAATTCCCAACATYRCYCAGAGTTTTTCTGGTTCTSCTGGTTCTTCTGGTTGTTTCTGGAGGCATTTTATTTTATTTCCGACACTACTTCATGTCAGGTAAGTTTTAGTTACAACAGTMCCACCAATGGTGATGTGTCCTGTTGAGACTTTTTGTTGTTATCCACAGATTTAGATTTTTATTTCAGSTCATTCTGTGATGCTTTGATTTTGGCATTTGTAAAGTTAATCAGGACAGTCTTTATCTTACCCTCTACTGTCTTCCTGTTGAATCAGACCATGAACATGAATCATACATCACTGAGAAAGTTGATCATAAGTGATGCTGTGTTTGCTTATGGATCTGTTTTCTTCTCTCAGTTTATAAGGTGAAGGTGGTGTCAGGGGTGGAGTCTGTGGTTCTGTCCTGTAAAACTACAGTTCTCCTGCAGCAGGATTTCACAGTAACGTGGAAAAACAGTAAAGGTCAGACAGTCCACACGTATCAGAAAGGCTTCAAATCAACTGATGAACAACATGAGGTTTACAAAGACTGTACAGAGATGAAGACAAACTTCAAATATGGAGACCTCAGTCTGACCCTGAGAAAGCCTACAGTCCAAGATACAGACACCTACACCTGCACTGTCTACGACAGGCGGAATAAAATCCGGATGAAGAAAGAAGTGCTGCTCTATGTCAAAGGTCAGTTCTTTAACTATAATATATGTTTTTAACAGATTTATTGATTCTGGTTTTATTGATTGATACAGATTTCTGATCATTGGACAGCCCTAAAAAWAAATTCAATTTATTTAATCAGGACAAAGTTAAAATTAAAATCATAAACGTTGAAACACTAAATTGTRTTCAAACGCACTGCACCAGATTTAGCCTTTGACCAATTTAAATCTGTAGTTCCACCAGACAATAAACAAATACCAACATTAAACAATAAAACACTCAACATGAATGAAACAAAGACAAAGATCAGGAGCAGTGTTCCACTGAGTGATTCTTTAACAGAGAAAGCTTCTTGTCTAAAGGCTGAGTGTCCTGCAGGATCTCACAGTTCCGATCGGATGTTCTGGTGGAGCACAAAGAGACAGCTGAAAGATATTAAACTAACTTATGCAAACATTTTGGTGATAAACCATTTATTTATTCAATTTATATACTGTTTCCATGTTTGAAAAAAAACTAAAATTATCAAAAGAAAGAAAATTGATTTTCTGTACAATCTGATAATGATGGTTTCCTGAGATTTGTAACAAGACTACATGTTTTATTACTGATGAGTCCACTTGTCCCTAACATAAATACAATATGAAATGTGTGGAAAAAATGAGTGTGTGTATGAATATCATAGCTTCTTCTGATGACAAACAAGGTCTTACATGTCTAAAATTGATGTAACATGTTATATCTAACTGTTATAACTGTTGGGTTATATCTAACTGTTATAACTGTTGGGTTATATCTAACTGTTATAACTGTTGGGTTATATCTAACTGTTATAACTGTTGGGTTAATCTAACCATTCTAACTGTTGGGTTGTATCTAACAGTTATAACTGTTGGGTTATATCTAACTGTTCTAACTGTTGGAATGTATCTAACTGTTCTAACTGTTGGGTTGTATCTAACAGTTATAACTGTTGGGTTGTATCTAACAGTTATAACTGTTGGGTTGTATCTAACAGTTATAACTGTTGGGT